GATTCCTTGAGCCCAGGAGTTGGTGGTTACAGAAGGCTATGATCGTGTCACTGTACTCCAGCTAGCCTGGGGGAAAAAGTGAGACCCTGTCCCTTAAAAAAAAAAAAAAAAAAAAAGGAAAACAGAATTGCTTTTATGTGTTGTGTGTATAGTATTGAACCCAATGCTGTGCACAGAGGAAGTTTTACAGTCCATGTCCATAGTGTTTCCTCTAGGTACTGGGGCCTTGCATAAAGTAGATATTTGGTAATTATTTGTTGACTCCATGTATAGTCACATGGCACTTTAATTTTATTTTGTGGAACGGTTCAGTATTAAGGATTAGTACTAGGAAAAAGACTTAACATTGAAATTCTGTGGATTTGTTTAAGTCATTTTCTTCTGAAGATAGAAGACTTTGAAAGCTCCAAGGAGTTATCTGGGAAAAAAATGTAAGCAGCTTTCCATCAAAAGACATTATGTTTAAGATTTGTACTGTAAAAACCTTGTGGAGCTCTGATCTCGAAACCTGTTATTTTATATTGCCTGAACAGTCTAAAGGCTCCTAGACAACTCTGATTTTGGCTCAGTTTTCAGTAGCTCCAGAGAAAAAGAGAAGGAGAATCTGATACTGCTGGCAGTCTGCACTTTTGCTTCTCTGGGCCAAGGCATGCTTTTCCAAATAAAATCAAGGAAATTGTAAACCAGTAGTAAAAACAAGTAAAGCATCCAGGAATTTGCCTCCTCTCATGTCCTGTTTTCTCCTTTTTGTTTCTAGGCTGTCTGATATTAAACTAATGTGGCAAAACTGTCCTCTGGGCTTGTTCTTCCTACTTCCCCTTTCAAGTTTAAGGGCAATAATTATGGAAAGATACTATGTTTATTATATATATATATTTTTTTCATTACATGCTGTTTCTGTTTAATAGCCCCTGGATACATTTACAAGTGCGTTTTTAATTTTTATTTTTTGAAATGGGGTCTCACTCTTTGAGCCAGGCTGGAGTGTAGTTGTGTGATCTCAGCTCCCCAGGTTCAAGTAATTCTCCTGCCTCAGCTTCCCGAGTAGTTGGGATTACAGGCGTGCACCACCACGTCCAGCTAATTTTTGTTTTTTGTTTTTAGTAGTAACAGGGTTTCGCCATGTTGGCCAGGCTGATCTTGAACTCCTGACATGACCTCTGGTGATCTGCCCACCTTGGCCTCCCAAAGTGCTTGAGATTACAGGCATGAGCCACCCCACCCAGTCTACAAGTACAATTTTTTTTTTTTTTTTTTTTTTTTTTTTTTGAGACGGAGTCTCGCTCTTGTTACCCAGGCTGGAGTGCA